AAATGGGTATAATCAACGTAATCGTCGCACCATTGATAAGAATATTGTTATGGGGAAAGAAATGTGACTATGAAAAAGGTGTATGCCTACAGATGAATGAATAGGTTAAAGACCTCTCCAGTAAATAACGACATTGCAGGCCTCAATAATATTATCGGTTTCTTTTCATATATAACAAGTTTCATGAGGTAATTCAATGTGTAAATCAGAAATATTTATACTTAAAGCGGGGAATGTTCCAATGGAAATCTTGGCGCGTGGGCACGAAGCAATGGAAGCTTTTAATGATGCTCTAGCTGAGGGAGAAGCAGAGGTTAATCAAGGAAGGACAGTTTTCATGGGCCTCGAGAGAGTCGGAAAGACCTCTACTATCAAGTCATTTTTAAGGAATACGTAAGCTAAATATATTCAGTGTTAGCTTTCACTAATGATTTTTAATTAACCTGTAATTCAAATATTCTTTGTATTAAATTCAATAATCTACAACTTAAATGAATGTATCATTCATTAATTTCAATCTATTTCCACACATTTATTTATTTTTAAGGAATACGTAAGCTAAATATATTCAGTGTTAGCTTTCACTACATTTAGTTAACCAGTTGAATTATTTGAAGCCTTCAGTAATGATTTTTAATTAACCTGTAATTCAAATATCCTTTGTATTAAATTCAATAATCGACAACTTGAATGAATGTATCATTCATTAATATCAATCCATTTCCACACATTTATTTATATATTAATTTAAATATGTACGTTCCGTACAGTATTGTGTATCTATATTATGCTTTCTGTAGTAGCAATATCTTTAGATTAATCATTTCATTTTGCTTTAGTTTTGATCCAAATGAGGATATTACGGACGCAATTGCCAACACAAAGGTGTGTACCCACGAATTGCACGATGAATTGAATTGGAAGGAAGCACCACCTGATCATTGTAAGTAAAGCAAACACTTTTATACTTTTTGTACAAGTAATATAAATCCATACCTAGCCACGTGGCTCATATGTACTGTAACTCCAATTTCAAAAAGCGTGAAACGAATGAAAGCGGGAT